GCAGACTGGCCGGCGGCCCTGGCCGAAGGGCCCATGGTGATGTTGACGCTGCTGGATGACTGGGTGTCACTGGTGTTGCCACCCTCTGCGGCGGACAGTCCGGAAATGACCAGAACGCTTGAGAAGCTCCTCTTGCCGAAGAGGAAGCTCAGGGTGGAGCTGGTGGACGAGCCCAGGCTGGACCGGATGAGGGCCTCGGCCCGCTCCCGGACGCTCAGGTGGCCAGTGGCGGTGACAGGCGGGGGCTGCGAGTGCAGGGACGCGGCCGAGGTGTGCAGGGACAGCCGGCTGCCCGAGAGCCTCTGGGCCAGCTCGTGGACCGACGTGGATGTCTGCAGGAAGGCCGGGTGGCCCTCCACCAGGGGGCCGGACGAGCGCAGGACAGGTGGCGTTTGGCTCAAGGCCCCGGAGGCCTGGACAGACCGACTCCTGCCTTTCCTCCTGCCTTTAGAAGAAAGCAGAGGGACCGGGTGGCCACAGCAGGCGGTCACCAACATCAGTGCGCAGTGAGATGGGCAGGCGGCCTGCTCCACGGGCCCCGAGGGACTCAGGTTGGCCCTCGGGCCTTCTGGGCCTGGATAGGGGGGCTGGGACCCCAGGGCGGGGCTCCCCTGAGGCCTGGGAACTGAAGGGCTGACCCAGGGCAGGGCGGGGGCATCGGTGTGGGGGGGCATGGCCATGGGGATGGACCCGTCCGGTTTGCCCAGGCCTGTCCTGGTTCAGCACTGAAGTCCTGCATCCGCGGAAGCCCCTGTCCCTGGCAAACCCATCGCGTGGCCTCATCAAGTCCCGTCTTGTCCCTGCTGCAGGACTGGGCCCCAGGCCCCTCTGGTAAGCAGCGATAAAGGGAAAACATGCAGGTCTGTGTCATTCTTAGCTGCCCTCAGAAAGGGAAGAAAAGGATCGAGCCACGTGCTGTGGCCTTTGTTTTCTAGAAATTTTCCCTGAAGACCAAGGTCTTTAAGAGGAAGCCCTCACCGGCCCCACCCAGGCTTGCAAGGCCCAGGTTCCCACCTCTCTTGGGGCCCCCGAGGACTGGAGCGGCTCCCAGCTCCCTTTGGCCTGTGGTCCCTCCCCACTCGGGGTCCCTCCTGGCCCAGCTCTTGCTTGTCGAGACAAGGTCATTTTTTTTTTTTTTTGGAGGGACGTGGGGA